GACGATGACAGTGTGAACCTGGAAGTATGGACGGAGTTTCCGAGCTGCTATCACCAGTGCATATGCTAGCTTTTCTATCTGCGGGTACCTTGTCTCTGCTCCCTGCAAAATTTTACTAACATAATAGATGGGTCGTTGGACCCGATCTACTTCTTTTATTAGTACCGAACTGACCACCTCGTCGCTTGTCGAGTGGTACAGTTCTAAGACCTCGCCCTCCTCGAGTCGGGCTAAGGTTGGCACACTAGCGAGGTAGCTTTTTAGCTCGTTAAATGCGAGCTGGCAGTCCCGGGTCCACTCGAACCCTTTGCCTTTGATTAATTTGAAGAAAGGCAGGCAGTGGTCTGCTGATTTGGACATGAAGCGGCTCAGAGTGGCTATGCGGCCGTTTAGCCTCTGAACTTCTTTTACTTTCCGGGGTGGTCTCATATCTAGGATGGCTATCTTGTCCGGGTTGGCCTCAATACCGCACCGGTTGACAATGTACCCTAGGAACTTGCCCGAGGTGACACCGAAGACACATTTGTTAGGGTTCAGTTTCATTGACGCAGGATTTGGAAGACAGAATCTAAGTCTTGTATTAATTCCTGTGAAATCTGCGTCTTGACGACCATGTCGTCTACATAACATTCTATTTTCGTGCCAATTAAGAGCCGAAACAGCCTATTTACAATTCTTTGGAAGGTCGCCCCGGCATTTTTTAATCCGAAGGGCATGACCTTGTAGCAGTACAGGCCGAACTCGGTTATGAAGCCGGTTTTTCCTCATCGGACTAGTCCATCTTGATTTGGTTGTAGCCCAAGTAGGCGTCCAGGAAGCTTAGCAACTCATGTCCCGAGGTCGCGTCCACTATGTGGTCAATTATGGGCAGGGGGAAGCAATCTTTCGGGCAAGCTCGGTTTAGGTCGGTGTAGTCAACGCACATGCGCCACTTGCCGTTTGCCTTTTTCACCAGCACTGGGTTGGCTAACCAGCTCGGGTAATGAACTTCCCTTATGAAATCTGCTACGAGGAGCTTTTCGACCTCCTCGTCGACCGCCCTCCAGCGCTCTAGGGCTAAGTTGCGTTTCCTCTGTTTAATGGGTCTAACTACAGGGTCAGTATTAAGTTTGTGAGTTATTAGTCTGGGGTCAATACCGGGCATGTCAGCCGCAGACCAGGCCAAAATATCTAAATTTTGAAGTAAAAAACTCACTAGTTCGGTTCGTAGTGGTTCTTCGATGGAAGCACCGATCTGTAGTGTGCGAGCTGGATCTGTAGCCGAAGTCGGGACTGCGACCGTTTCCTCTGTGGGCGAAGCTCGTTCCTCGCCATGCTTCGTAGGCCACTCCAGTTCAAGGTTGTCGGCCACCTTGGTTTTTCTCTTTAGGGCGGCAACATAACACTTGCGGGACTCAAGCTGGTCGCCCCACGCTACCCCCACACCGAAGTCTGTAGAGAACTTCATTGCCAAATAGTACGTGGAGACCACTGCCTGCAGGATATGCATAATTGGCCGCCCTATTATGGCATTGTATGGGGAAGGGGTCGCGACCACCAGGAAGTCATGGCTGAGTCTAACCGCACAAGGCCATGTGCCGACTTCCACAGGTACTGTTATTTTTCCGAGGGGCCTGACTTCCTCTCCGCTGAAGCCCACCAGAGGAGTGTTTGCGGGCTTTAGCTCGCTCTTTTGCAACTGTAGCTGGTCAAATGCTGACTTGAAGAGGATGTTCGCCGAGCTGCCCGAATCTACGAGTACGCGCCTGACCTCGAAGTCGCTAATCCTCAGTTTTATGACGAGCATGTCATCGTGGGGGTAGTGGACCCCTCGCGCATCGTCTTCCGTGAAGAAGATCGGCTCTTCAGTCTTCGGTCTCTTTGGGGGGTTCTGTTCCACTTGGTCTGCTTCGCGAATTGACGTCCAGGCCGCTGCCGAAGTGCACCCTGCTACTACCGAACCACCCACTATTACATGGATGGTTCCTCGTACTGGCCTCTCTTCCGGAGGCTGTCGTTGCAATGATTCAGCTAGTCTGCTGCTAGATTCGGGGGCATCCTTTCCGTGCTCCCCTTGTCGACCTGCCTTATTGTTATTATTATTATCATGCTGTACAAAATTCCTCAAGTATCCGCGACAGATGAGTCCCTCTATCTCGTCCCGGAGATTATTACACTATTCGGTACTATGACCGTAGTCTCTATGGAAACTACAATACAAATTTTTATTTCTCTCGTTTGGATTCTCCTTTAGGCAAGGTGGCCACTTTACGTATGGGGCATCCTTGATCGTCATCAAGATCTCGGTCTGCCTCGTTTAATGGTGTGTAATCCGTCCGAACTGCTAAGGGAGCTCAGAACGACTGGTTCGGCTTTGGCTCCCGGACCGGGTTTTTTCTGTCGACTGGGTTGGAGGGCTCGCTTTCCCTCTTTCTTTTCTCGTTCCCACTTTCGATCCGTTGGTTGATTTCTTCCTCTGTCCTCATGAACTTGTCCGCGAGCTTGAGGAATTCGGCCACAGTTGCGGGCTGGTTAGCTACCATGTGCCATTTGAACTCTTTGTGCGTTACTCCTCTCTTGACCGCCGCGAGCTGCACCGTGGGGTCTAATCGCGGTATCTGCAAGCACGCTTCATTGAACTGCTTGATGTAGCCCCGGATGGATTCTTCTTCTCTCTGGACTACTCCGAAGATGCTTTCCTCTGTTCTAGGGCCACGCACATGCACGATTCACTGGCCCTGGCGAGGTGCATTTGGGATTGGAAAGCATCAACGTGGTCGTTGGGGTCGAAGGACCCATCATACTTGTCCAAAGGTGGGAGCTTGAAATCTCTGGGCATGGGGACTGCCAGGAGTTCTGATGCAAGGGGGGAAGGAACTAAGAGAATCGGGGCAGCTTTTACCTCGTCCGAGGTCGTCTCTTCCTTACCTCTAAGCTCGGGTAGGACACGGGTGGCAGTTCGGCGACTTCGCCGGCACCTTCGTCGTTGAGTGGGCCTGGCACTAGCGCTGCTGGCCTCTGTGTTGCCAAACTCGATAGGCCCGGAATGTTGGTAATCTCCTGCCAGGGTGCTGAGTCAGTTCTCCGTGAGCGGGAACTCGGGCCTGGAGCGTCGAGATGCTGACCTTGCGGGCGAGGTTCCTCACCCGCCTGCAAGCTGCGAGGTGGGGCTGATTTTTCTTTCCCTTTGGCCTGGGGATGAGGCCTGGCTGTTAGGGGGGTTCTGGGGCCGGGAGGCTTTTCCCTGGTGGAGGCGTCCACTATGAGGGGAGGCCTTAACCGGCTTCGGAGCAGGGTGCCAAGGTGGAAGTAGTGGTTGGTTCAGAGGCAGTTGGGGGAACTGCTGCTGATAGTGATACTGGGAGATGTTGTGCAGTACTTGGTGCTGCTGGAGCTGATGTTGCTGGAATTGTTGCATTTGGGCTTGCATTGCCCGTATGCATTGCATCAGGTCGTCCAACTGGTTCTAGCTGGTTGCCCGGGGGACAATAGTTGGTTCAGTAAAGGTTGTTTCGATAGGGAGAGAAAAGGGGATGCTCATGGCAGGAAGGTTTACGAGCGCCACTGCTTGTGGCACATTCAAGCTGGGGATCCCATCCACCGAAAGGGGGATGGTGAACTGTCCGACGCACACCACAGGGACTTGAAGTTGTTCCCCGGTGGTGTTTGTCTCCGTGCCACGCCCGGCGTTGCTGGAAGAAACCATGAGTGTTGGGGTTTTTGGAGAAAAGAGGTTATGAGAGTTTAGAGGGAGGCTTTTAGAAGCGGTTCCCACACACGACGCCAATTGATGGTGCGCAATCCGGCTGGTCCTAGTTGTCAACGACCTTGCCTCTGAACGGAGCTACAGGGAGCCTAAAACAGAGAAGATGAGGAAGCTCCGGGGGGAACCCGGTATGAATGCTCCGAARCTCAAGTTAGAATTCTCTCAAAGGCAAGATAAAAYCAGATGGCGCAAAGTTCACATACCTTGTTCTTGGGGGGTAGGGAGCCTTTTATAACCACCTCGTGCACCCACTTCTAAGCTTCTGTCAGGTCGGGTATGATTACCTCTGGGCTCCTGCCAGTTCGGGTGTCATCCCCTCTGCTGGACAAAACCGCCATTGCTCCCTTTGTCGGAGCCGTCTCTGCGACTGGCGATGACGATGGCAGGTGGCGGTGGCTGGTGGCCGTTGAAGTGCGGCTATCAAGCATCAGATCCCAAGTCAGTCAGGTGCGCCGCCCTTGGATACGGACCTCCTCGGTGTCAGGTATGGTACGTTTGTTCAGTTCGGCATCCTGGAGGTGAAGTGCTGGGGTGGTGAGCGAGGTGAAATCTTGAGTTTGGATAGGGGATCGTCCCAAACTGCCATGAGGCGGGCCAGTTCGGGTCATTGCCTTGTGTGTGAGGTTCGAGCTCCTAATAGGGAGTTCGGACTGCTGGTTCCTTCGGTGCTTGCGCCTTGGGCGCGCTGTTGTGCCGAACTGTTTGCCTTTACCACATGTTGAATTATTACGAGATCGGGCCAAATCTTCCTTCATCAAATGTACAGAGCCATTTGGGCCTCAAATTGAACCACTTTGCCATATACCAAAGAAAGGGTTTCATTCTTTGATCATTCAAGTTTCATTTTAAACCACCTGACCTGACTACCAGACAAACTAATCGTCTGATGATAATTTATGAACCTAGGCGATTGATCACAAATTCACAATGCCTAATTTTGCTTTCTTTTCTTCTTTTATTTGGAAATGAATTCAAAATACCGCAAGGGACTTGATAAAATAGAAGATTGAAACAATCAAATATTCAAAGACCAAAACTATGCATATGTACATGAATCATAATCAATCAATAATGCAAAAAATCAGCATTTGCAATTGAAGATTGAAATATTAAACAAGAAAAAAGAGAGTTAATAAAATAATTAATAAACCCAACCACTTGAGACTTTTTCTCTTTTAGAAAAAGAGAGAGAGAGAGAGCAACAACGTACAAAAGTCAAGACTCAAAAAGAAAAACCCACCCACCACCTTCACCAGACAAGAAGGAAAAGAAATATTTAAAAAACTCGCCCACCAGTCACCAGTTCACCACGTTCCCAAACCAAACGGATGTCGGATGGAGGAGTGCCTCTGCCTCTCCTCCCTTAGGCCTTAGCTGCTGGCTACTGTCTACTGAATGGTATTTACAATTTGACCAAATTAACAGTAATTTATTTTAGTCCCTTAATCTATTTACCAATATGACGAGTGTGGCGGACGTAGTCCTCCCGGCTGAGAGACTGAGGGGTGGACAGTGATACACAGTAAGACGAGTTCATGGGTGTGGTATCGGTCGTTGAATCTTCTGTGCTGCTGTCTTCAAGCGGCCCCAGCGGCGGCCATACGAATCTTGGCTTGAAGGGAGGGAGATGAGGCGGAGGCAGAGATGCCGATATAATCTGAGAAATCTGTTGCGCTTTGGGTCTTTGAGACGCTTCAGGGTTGGAGCAGGCCAGACCCAGCTGCAGCAGCCTCAGTGCCTCCTCAACCACGTACTCACCCCTCAGCCTTTCATCAACCGCCTCAAGGAGACGGCCTTCCCTGTGCAACGCCCACACCCAATCGACCAAGGAGGAGTAGTGCTCGATCTTGGTCCATGGGCGCTGCCCAGAGACGACCTCAAGCACAACCGTGCCAAAGGCGTAGACGTCGGACTCCCTGGTGGCCTTGAGGGTGTGGAAGCACTCGGGTGCGAGGTAGCCCATGGTGCCGGGCATGCCCTGGGCGTCCATCTCGGCGTAGGATGTCTTCTCGTGGTCCAAGGCACGGGCCAGCCCGAAGTCGCCCAGCCGGGCGTTGAAATTGGAATCCAGCATGATGTTACTGGGCTTGATGTCCCGGTGGACCACCTTCTGGTCGTACTCGGTGTGGAGGTAGTGCAGCGCCGATGCCACCCCTGAGATGGCCTTGGACCGATGTTCCCAGCTCAGCGTTTGCTCTGCCCCATCCACATCAAATAGGTGCTTATCCAAGCTTCCATTCGGCATGTATTCGTACACCAAAAGAAGTATTCCGTTCTTGTGACACCATCCTGTCCCAAATGTATAAACTGATGTGAGGCATCACCACCTTTGGAACAATTATTGTGTCAAAATTAATGAAAATTCATTCAGCAAATTATTGACCTTGACCTTTAACTGCACTGGATCAAATTATTGACCTAGTAAATGGATCGAATATATCCAATCCCAATAAGAGGTTAGGTGTATAAGTAGATTAATTGGTCTCCCAAAAAGAATATTATGTGATAGGTGAGGCCGTGAGGGTTTTGTTTGCCATATTCATAAATATTAGTCAAACAAAAACGTGATTGTGAATGTGAATCTTTCCAGAAAACAAAATTTTTATAGCTTTAATGTGTGTGCATCCAACCTTCAAATATATCCTGTCCATCAAGTCATACATATATTTCCAGGAATAAAGAACAAGTGAACTCAGTCAAGGTGAAGACACATATGCTCTTGTCATGGTTCATGGGACCTAGACGTTTTGGGCATGGCAAGTACAATTACACAACTCTTGTTAAGATTGGAATTCAAATTCAATTTTACCCGTCAAATTTTCATTGGTTTTGGATCTGATTTTTTCTTACCCCAAACTTTTCTAATTTTGGTGGGTCAGATTTTAAAATTAGATACCATTAATAAATCAAATTAATTAAAATATATTATTATCGGTAGTTGAGTGGCACACGGAAGAGAGAGAAAAGAGCCTACAAAATATATATATATATATATATATATATATATATATATATATATATATATATATAT